AGGGCCGGGGTTTTTCGTTTCCTGTTGATTTTCCTTTAGCTTTATCCTCGCCCAAGCCCAGTCATGCTTATAGAGGCGCCCCAAACAAGAATGGCACTCGCTGCAAATATTGACACAGTCACCCGGGGCCGCGCCAAATGAATGCTTCCCCAGCGACAGAGGCATCTGTGACTCCAAATGGAGCATGGCAGAGGATAGGAAGTAGGAGGGCACGATATATGGCGGTGAGGCGAGGGGAGGAAAAGGAGCAAAGCGGATACTTGTTCACCTCTCTGTTTTGTTTGTTTTTTTAAAGCTTTCTCTGCTAAGCAACTTCAACATGCTGGGCCATCTCTCCTCTCCGACCCATCCTTGAACCCAGCAATCAACCCAATGATTATTTTAACATTTTTTTTCCCCTCATTTGCTCTTTCTCCCCTGCTAGGCACTGGCCTGGGTTGGCTGATTTTGCAGAGAGCTGACAGTTTTTAGACGTGATGTTGAAAAGTCTTAAGCCTAGTTGTCGGTGAATGTTACTTGAGCAGGTGCAGTCGACCGCACTGACAGAAGAAGACCCGACCCAAGCTTTAAAAAAAAAAAAAAAAAACATCCCGATCTCAGCCAAATCTGGATGCTGACTTAAGAATCCTAAAGATGTGCTTTTATTGGGAGCCATGTTAGAAAGAGGGCAACGCGTGGATGGGAGTTAGAACATAAGGAAGAGAGATGGAAGGAGGAGGAGAGAGGAGGAAGCTTGTTAGGCAAAGGCCAACAAAGGGGTGGAAGTGTGTATTTGTGTATCTAAGTGGGGGTGTCAGAGGAACAATGGCCCAGCCAGGGTGCAGTGATCCAGGCAAGACCAAGCTGTCGCCTGGCCCCTGGTCCATATGCACTATTTAAACAGCATGCACACACACACACACACACACTCTCTCTCTCACACACACACAGCTTAACGTGCCACATCCACTTTTCGTACTGTGTTTTCTCCCTCCTGCTGTGTGTGTGTGTGTTGATGTATGCTCTTGAACATCAGAGCTGCTTGAGTGAAAGTGAGATGTGGAAATAAGGGGAGCGAGAGAGGTAGGTAGAGAGGTTAGAGTGTATATATGTGAGTGTGTGTGTGTGACACAGAGAGAGACAGATTTACCATTGCCAGCATTAGTGCATGACATGTGGGTGGATATTGAAGATGTTATTAGTATCACATTTACAGGCCTTATAAAACTGCCACAGAGCTGGGTGGTTTTCATACATCTTCAGCTGATATGTGTCACACTGTCATTTGTGTTGCGTTTCCAGCAGCTGCTCAGATGATCATTAAGTGATAGTGCAGTCATTAGTCGCTGTCTCATTTCTCCGTTCCGTATAACCTTCCCGGTGTGCTTTGGACAAAACATTGACCCTTTGTTTTTCTCATAAATCTGTTTTTCTCACATGATTACCTAAAGGTTAAGAGGCAGCCTTCGCACTTAATTTTCAAGATTATAAAATGAATGAGTCACTATGACAAAGAAAGTTTTTTCTACATTATGTTTACGCTTCACTCCAAGACAGCGAGGAGTTTTCACAACCACTCACAACCACACATCTATTCTTGCAACAACTCCTACTTTCTCAGATGTCTCACTTCTCTCCTCATGGAACCCAAAAATTACAACCGATTACACCTCGCTTGGGCCAATATATAATTGCCAATTAGTCAACATGTCACTGGGTGGTTAGTGCCACAGTGAGCAAGCGACTAACTGCAACTGTGAATGAGGCACTTGGTCCCGTTTTGGACCCTGGCACCGCTGAGAATGAGAAAATCCAGGATGATGCTCCGCATAAGGAGGCTCTTCCTGAAAGAGCTGGAGAAATCTCAGAGGATATTTGTGGGCAACGGCCGCGGCCTGTTTGGCAAGGGACACGCAAACTCAGGAGGGAGACACCGCTTCTGGGGCAAAACATAGGAAAAGACGAACAGATACCAGCTTTGCACCCAAAGAGATGTGAAAACCAGCATCATGTGGCAAAAACACTGTATGTCTGGTACATGCCAAGGATATTGCACGGTGCAAATCAGGCCTATGAACTATAATTTCCATAAATAAACAAAAGATTTAAGAAGCAGAATGATGTTGATTGCGTTCAATTACATAATCCGTAAAGAAAGTTCCTTATTTTTTACAATAAAAAACTTTTGTTTTAACTAATAATAAACTACATTAGATTTGAATCTAACTGGGAACATGATGGGAACTTTGAACAGTCTTTATATACACCTGAAAGTCTAGCATACACTCAACTAATCACTTATTCTTTGTGCTGTGTCACTATAACAGCATCATTTCTCTTAAATTAGCAAAACATATTTTCTCACTTACCTCTGCTGGCAAGTGAAAATAGTTCTGGTTTTATTGGACCAGGTTTCAAGGCATCTGGATCTGCTGCCAGCCCAAATTCAAGAGGGTTGAATGGATTTTTTGAATGTGGTGCTAACAGTATTGGAAAAAAAACACTGAAAACGGAAACATCAGTGTCCCCCTGGATGATCCAGAGAACATGCCGACCGCTGTCCGTGGTGCTGAATCTGGGTCTGTCCTGTGCGTTCTCTGACTTATAGTGATGATTTCACACCTTCCAGGCTTAATTTCCATAAGTAACTACAAGGTGCCAAATTGTGGCACTCATTGGAAGTTAACTAAAGTGAGAGGAGTTCTCAGAAATCCATTTAAGAAAGCAGTGCAGTATTCCAAACCAAGGTTCTCCTAAGTTCATAAGGAGAACACTGGTTGTTATTCTTAGAAGGGATATAGTACAGATCAGCCTAATCAATATAACAAAAATTGGACATTTTGGTTGAAAATGACACAGACGCCAGCAGATAATCAACACCCCTGTCAGCTATCCTTATAAAGGGGCCTTTTCTCACATCCAACTCATCATCCACCACCAACCCTGCCACCTCAACTAGCTACAACAGATACATAAAATAAACACGATTATCAACTGTGTTTGAATGAATGAATGGAGGTTACCCACTGCTCCATGCTCACAGGGCACAAACAGGGCTTCAGTGCAAAGAGTTGCCCAAATGCAAAGTCAATACTCCTTTAATATGGTTCTGTGGTCATGAATGATTTGTTTCTTAAAACTCCATGACTTGACTACTGAGCTCCCTGAGCACAATGTCAGTAATACCGCTGGCTGAGTCTGACCTGTTAATCCAGATCTTAATTGGTGCCAAGGAACCAAAGAGACAAATCACCAAGTGTCCCCTGCGATGGAGCCTACAACTAGCAGGCTGCAGTAGTTCGTCTCGACTCGGTGGCGTAATAAGTAGAATATTGAAGGAAATTGTTCGACAAACCACAGATGGCTACTTGGAGGGAAGAAAAAAAAGCAATAATAATAATAATAATCGAGGTCGCCGCCGCCATGTGTGTTATATTCCATTATTTGAGGGGATTTGGTGGGAGGATGGGAGTCTGGTTTGGGTGCGTGCGGAGAGAGCGCACATACTGCATGCTCAACAGATGGGTAGAAAAGAGAGAGAGAGAGACGGGGGAAGAGAGAGAGACAGAGAGAGAGAATGCTTGGAGCCTCCTTTACACTCGCGTTGTCGCGTCCCGGTTGTCATTCCCGTTCAGCGTCACCGGAGCCACCTGCTCGCTACCGAGAGAGGACAAGGAACCGTTCTCTCGATAAAAGCCCGCATACTTATCATTTCGCTTAAAACAACACGGAATAGACTGGGTAGGGGAGTAGAAAGAGAGAGAGAAGGGGGTGGTGGGGGGGGAGAGAGATATGGCACCAAGAAGCGGCACTGCGGCAGACGCACGCCAGGGTCGGAGGCGCTACAAACAAAAATCGCCCCCGCAAATAATAAATCGGACCCCGGTGCGTGATCAGGTAGCTTTCAAAAGGGCTTTTCTGTTGCGCGATGAGATGCCAGTACGGATGTTAGTCAAGCAGCCCCCCCCCCCCCCCAACCCCCATCCTCCTCCTCCTCCTTTCAATCCCCAGTGCACGCTCACTGGCGTCTTTGGTACATCCTGGCTCTTTAACATTCAACGGGAGAAAGCACCCACTCAACCAAGCGCACAGTGCGCACAGGGGTGGTGGTGGTGGTGGTGGGGAGGGTTAGAGTGGAAGGAACATCGGCAGCAGCCCTCTAACCGAAACCTATACGTGAATCGGGCCACGGATGAGACATCGTCCTGCCAAGAACCATTTCCAGCCATTAGGGGCACTGTTAAAGAAGCATCCGTGCGGGCGGGAGAAGCTCTGACTTATTAATGTTATTCCAAACTCAAAATGGCATCGTGGAAACCCCCCCGTACAGACACACACACACACGCACGCAAGAAGGAAGAGAAAACCATCATTGTGCGTTGTTGGGGAGGGGGGTGGACGTAAGCATGTGAATGCGTCGAGAAAAGGCGAAGCAGCGTGAAAGATGGAAATAAAAGTGTCTGTGCAGGCTACGTGCGCACGATGTGGTGTGTGTGTGTGTGTGTGTGTGTGTGTGTGTGTGTGTGTGTGTGTGTGTTTCTTTTGGCCACTGCGCAAAGTTACATGTCTGCCAGCGGCTAGAAGCAATCATACAGCTCTGTGTGTGTGTGTGTGTCTCCCACTGAGGGATCCGGCATCCAGGAGGCTTCTGCTGTCCACCTGTGCTCTGTTAATGGTTTGTAATTCAGCTGTTGGGATGTATATTTTTTGAGGGGGGGAAGGAAAGGATTTTCTGTTTACCGTTACTTTTGGTTCACAGATCTCCCACGGATACAACCGCAGCTCCGTCTTGTTGAAACTGCCCAAATAACTGTCCTGTAAGCGTGAGAGCAGTACGCGTCGTGGATCTATAAGCTGGACTTGCAACACAGTGATCCTCACACATGCATGTCAGGAAGGGAAATAAATAAATAAATGAGCCGGCAGACTGCAAAGCAATCTGGCGCAAAAGAAACACTCCAACGAGGTTCTCTTTTTTTTTGGTTTGGTTTGGTAAGAGTTGTGGAGGTAAAGCACGTTACCTGATCGCTGTCAGCAGTAGTTATTTGATGCGACGGCTATTCCCCGATCGGTTCCGTGGATACAAATTAAGTTTCCCATCCATGGCACGTCTCAGATGGAGAAGGAGACTATCATTCATTCACCCTCGCTGCTGCGCGGAAATCTTCTCAGCCACAAATGTTCTCCGCCAGGCATCCCACTTTCTGCGTGTCCGAAAGCGACCAAAAAAAACCAATCAAGTGTCAAAATAAAAAAGAAAGAAAGAGGGAGAAATAGCCGAGGACATGAAATCATAAAGTAGCCACAGATCTAAAGGAAAGAACAGAAGAGAAGAACGCAAATGGAAAAAAAATAAAAGAAGAGGCAAAATGAAAAGAGAGAAAAAAAATAAAAGAAGAAGAAGAAGGGACGTCGTAACTGTAGATGTCCAGTTTAGTTTCAAAGATAAATCCACGTCATATAATCTCCATGGTTTTTGCGCATATAGGCACGCTGTATATTCCAAAGCAGTGGGGAAGGAAGGAAGGAGGACGCGCTCACAGTTAGCAGCGCCGCAGCAGCATCAGCATCAGCATCAGCAGCAGCAGCAGGGGCAGAGTAGGATAACGGCTTTTTTTTCTAGTGATGCCCGGTACTCCAAGTCCAAGGAAGCTCTTCATTTGAAGCATAAGATGAAACACAAGGAGAGAGAGAGACGGAGATAGAGCGAGTGGAAGGGGAGGAGGAGAAGAAGAAAAAAAAAAAAAAAAAAAAGGAGAAAAAAAAAAAAAAGGAAACGTGGAGGAAAAAAAAAGAGAGGAAACAATTCCGTTTTACTGCCCCCCCCTTTTTTTTATTCTCTCCTCTTTATCCCTGTCACGGGGTGTCTGTGGTTCTCTTCGCCTGCTCTGGCATTTGGGTGACGGGTATCCACAGGCAGCGGCTCACAGTCGGGCATCTGGCTCCCCTGCAGTCGCTTCACAAGCGGAGGACAGAGATGCGCGCCCTCGCTGCCCTCCGCCGGGGATCCGTCAGGCGCGTTCACAGCGGAACACCCCCCACCACCACCACCACCATCCTCCCTCCCCTCCTGCTTCTCCTACCCACCACTACCATCCTGACGTCAGCACGCGCAGTTTCCTAAATACAGCACAGATTTTTTTTTTTTGTTTAAAGCATAACGCTGCATGTTTGTCACATGCCTCGAACATTCTCAGCTTGTTTGACTGCTGAGGCTACTTCTGGTGCATTTACAAGTCTTTCATAAGTTGTGACTGGGAAAAAAAAAAAAAAAAACTCCCTTCATCTAAGAGCTAACAGATGCCCTTGTTACCTCTTCCAACCTTCTGCCAGAAATATTGTAAAACATGGCAGAAATCTGGCACCATCCATGCGCTCATTACCAAATCCTGCGAGCTAAAACTCATACAAACATGCAATTATCATCCCTTTCATGCCTTTGGTGTCAGATTCCCTACTTATATCAAGGCGTGCTCCATACAGTAGATGATGTGATTAGACTTTGGAGCTTCTCACTTGCATATATTTGCATAAGAATGAGCAAAAAGTGGTGGGACATCAGTCAACTGGAGAGCTTGTTCTGAAAGGCTCCGGGTTGGAGGAGGAGCAGTTTTCCTTTCGTGGAGACAGATTCCTAACCATCCATATATTCATCCATCATCCATTTTTCAATCTTCTTTACAGTTCTGGAGCTAGTCATCCATTGTCGTGCAGAATTAAACTTATTAAATTAGTCTTACACAATGATTGTTAGAATTTTTGGACTGAATGACTGCTGCGGCTAAGCTGAAGAGAAGCAAAGCTTTTCATATATACATATTTTTTCTCCCCCCTTTAAAGAAGAACTGGGTGCTTTTACACTCAAATGTAGACAAAGACAGCAGAACACTGTGTGAAAATGAAGTGCACATCTCTGAAGACAAAAGTGGACGGTAATACTTTCGCAGCCAGATTTGAAAATTGCGGGCTCATTGAACACGGCCGCAAATGATACAGAGGAAAATAGACGCTATCGTGGGACTGCGTCTGTCAGATTACAGCATTTCAGAGCCTTGCATATTAACCACAAAACCTGCAGGCACTCGGAGTTCTGAGATTTGCCTTAAAAGTGAAGCAACATTTTCTCTCTACAACCTTTTGCGACTCAGTAGGTTGCTAGATTTCCTTTGTGGTTACACGTTTATTTATATGTAAATAGACCCTGGCTTGACTTTCTGGACTTTTTTTTTTTTTTTTTTTCCTGTGACTCTTTGATGTTAAAAAATTTGGTGCTCACTCGCTGCGAGGCTTAGAGAGTCGCAACAGTTCAGTGGTTCGAGAAGCACGCATTGCATTGCAGGCGTGGCCATTTTTTAATTGGTGAATGATGATTTGTGGTTAACACTGCATTAAGAACATTAAATGGCTCCGTACCCTGTGAAATGACAGAACGTATGTGCTTGGTGTCTTTATTTCACTTAGGTCTATTAAAAGTGTTTTTTTTTTTTTCTTTTTTCCTGGATGTACCCTTTGTCAAATGATCTGTCAATGCAAATTCTCTCTCCACTCTACAGCTCTTATAAGAGACTGTCTATGAACATTTTGCTATTCGCCTGAGAGGATTCTGCCGAGAATCAAATTTGTGGGCTCCCAAATTGGACCAAATGAAAGCACAAAGCAGATCAAAAGGCAGACTGTCTGCCACTGTGATAATCCGTCTCATTTATTAGCATTAGAACATGCCATCGCAACTAATTCTGCAAGGACGTATATCGATGGAAAATTCCTCACCTTTAATTCACTTACTGACTGACAGGAATTTCTCTTTAACAATCATCATTTCTCATGAATAAATGAAGAAGAAAAAAAAGGGGGGGGATTCATATAAAGTTAACTATTCTAATAGAAGGCACATACCAGACGATGCTCACACTTTCGTCTCGTCTACGTGCTGAATTCCCAAGATGGTACGCAAACATCAGCCAGCCATGCCATCTTTATATCATCATACATCAACCAGCTGGTAAGACGGCAGCTCAGAATAACATCACTGGAAAGAGGGATTTTTCATCGACTACAACAGCCTACTTTGCATTAGCATTCTTGGCAGAGATTGAATAATCATCATCAGGACTATAAATGCTGCCTTGGGTTGTGCGATGGAGATGTTGGGCAGGAGGTTCAAGCATGTGCTTCTATGCAACAGTAAAGTGGATAAATACTCGATGTAATTTAGGCCACACACATCAAAGCAGACACTTTTTATATATAACACTTACTAGGAGTGCTTTTCATGAACTTATTATGTACCAGCCACTTGTTAAGGGGCCCCTTGAAGTGAATGTGCTCATGTATCGATACTGGATTTGTTAGTTTAGTATTAACCTTTTTTTAAAACATTTTATTGAGATTTTGAATTGGGTTGAGATCCATAACTGTTGTTGGTATGTAAAGCCAAATTTGTACTAAAAATCAGGCTACGGAAATAAATGACAACACTTGTCATATTGCCTGATAATGACCTTGTTACTCAAAATATAAAATGAGAGCAAAGCTGACACAGAGTGACATAATGGAAGCCGGATGATGGAAAGGACTGCTTAAGTTTGCGAAGTTTGTTGCAATTTCAGCACCACGGAGAGCTCATTGAAGCTTTAAGATCTTGCTTTTAGTGGCACACACACTCACACTCACACTCTCTCTCTCTCTCTCTCACACACACACACACTTTAAAAAGAAACAGAAGAGTCCCATACACAAAAAAAACCTTGGAAGGTTTCAGCACCATGGAGAGCTCCATCACTAATTCAGAGAGACATGAAAGGTGATTTGGAGCCGACTTACACGCATTCGGGCATAGATTTAGCCAGTTTCGGGACAGCGCAGAGACTGAGAGCTTCTTTGTATAAGATATTATATTGTATTCAACCAAAGGGAAATTCTCTAAACATAAATTTTGTTCCAGATTTTTTTCTCCTCTGTTGGCCATGAATATTCTATGCAAAGGTTTCCGCAGCATTTGAGAGATTACAGCACTTTTGCACAAACACCGCGTCCCTTTTGCTCAGCTCTAATTCAGAGCTGACATTATCGTCCATGTGTACGGCATCTTTATGACCCTGAGAATTAGCTAAACCTTGAACAAAACCAAAGATTCTTCAGCATTTAAGGAAAACTCTGTTTTTATGAGTTTCAGCAAATGAGATTTTAAAGAAGTAGCGTTTTCAGGGACCTTGCTGTTTCATGTAAATGACTTGAATAAATGACTCTCGCTCGTTCCTGGTCTTTCTCGTTCACATTCGGTAATCTGCATTATACTTTAGCAGCAGTAACAATCCCACAGTGCTGAAGTTGACCTGCACCTCTGGTGGCCACGCTTCGGAAAGCAGCTAGGTCAAGCTTTGTACTGTTCATGCAACTGCATGTATGTTCTATGTGTACGTACACATCAGCGCAAGTCAATGGGGCCCCTTGACCTGATTAGCTGACATCTGCTGTGGCCAGAGGGAGTGTTCCTGTACAGACACTATAGGAACAACCAGTATAAGAAACATCCGAAGCTGGATTACAACATCAACCACGAGTGTGTCATGCCTCTCAGTTAGAAACATCAAGCAGCTAATCGGAGGATCGTTGCTCTGGTGTGCTGTATTTGCATGCTAGGTATGCACAAATATTTATGGATGTTGAATATCTGCTTGTGTAAATAAAAGTCAGCCTCACTTGCATTTGCGATGAAAACAAACAGGGTCAGTTATTAAGACTTTGTGTATTCTTGGTATGTATAGCTTCTACGTTCAACCTTAAGACTCGTTTTGAAAGAAAAAAGCCAAAAGGCATAAAAAGCCCCACAGCTCTACAGCTCATCCCTTAATCAGAACAACTGTAATTTTCTACTCGTCCTCACTGTATTTTTTTTAAAACGCCTGCCTTGTCAGAAAATTGTATTGCCTGTGTTTGATTAATTTGTTCGAGGTAAATGGCTCCAGAACAATAGCCTATTTGATTCGCTTCCCACGAATAAGGGAATGTAAGGGCAGGCCAAAGCTTCAGGGGGAAATTTGCATTGTCACAATTGTTTTTCAGTTTCCTT